GTATTTTGAGAATGTTGGGTTTGTATGGCAGCTGTGGAACTGCAGTGCAATAGGGCTCTGGACAATAATGTTTTAACTATTTTTTGTCTGAACCTCCCAGGACTTGTAGAAATTTGCTTTCTAGATTGATGATCTGCTGATTCGGCAAATAATCGACCAGTACCTGTCACTATTTGTGGAAGTTTAGATAGGTTAAAAACCAAAATGTAATTAATGTGTGAAATGCTGCAGGCATTACCTGTGTGCATGTTTGCCTCTCTGGTTTACACTGCATATACTCCATTACAGGTGGAAAGGACATAAATAAGAGTTCCACTTTGTTTTGCGAGTTTCTGTGGAGTGTTCTCTGAACACTGATGTTGATGGCTTGAGACATAAAAATTCTGTGTGAAAACTCCTTGATTTCCACATTAATCCCTATTCTCAATTTCCCAGTGCGTGCCAATGCCAAGCTTATTGGTTATCATGTTACAGTTTTTTCTAGGAATCTGGATGTAGGAAAGCTCGTTTGGATTTCTCTTTGTTGTTTTGTCCTAGGGCCTCTGTAATAGTTTTTTCCAGCCCACTGTTAGTAAATAGTGCCAAGGCTTTTAGTTCTTGGTGGGCTTTTATAATAAAGACCAGGAACAAAATGGGTTTAGATTTTTAACATTCAAACCATTCTTTTTTTCCTTAAGCTTCTGGAAATTTTGATCTCCTTGACAACACTGACATCCATCTGCACTTCCCAGCTGGAGCTGTCACAAAAGATGGACCATCTGCTGGTGTTACCATAGCAACGTGCCTTGCTTCACTCTTCAGTGGGCGGCTGGTGTGCTCAGATGTAGCCATGACAGGAGAAATTACACTAAGAGGCCTTGTTCTTCCAGTAAGCATCATTGGAGAAAAGAGCTAAGTTGTATTAAGTCTCCCTGTTTTGGATATAAAATCTGTTTACAGCCACTTAGAAAAGAGTGGATCCAGAGCCTTGCTGGATCATTCCTTAGCAGCAATGCAGTCTCTGCTGGTGCAGCTGGAAGAGCCCAGTCTGATGCAGTATTGCTCCACACCTCTGCTTTGCCTTTCAAACTAAAGCCAGCTTTGATGTGGCTTTTTTGGAAAATACATTCAAATGTCTACTTGGAAAGGAAACATCAAAGTCTTAAAATGCAAGATGGCTTTGAGTCTGCACTGCAGTTTCTAAATGTGCTTCCTCAGACTTATTGCAGAACTACTTCTGGTGTCTTTGAAAGGTTGTGTCCTAAAGCTCCCACAGTAACTGCATACAGGTTACTCCTGAATCCATGGGTCTACTTTTGGGTTTCTCTTAAATGTTGGTCCTTGTATGTAGCTCAGCCAAATAGGGTTTCTATAAAGCTTTGTCAAAGCATGAAGGCAAAGAAGGCCTTCAAACAAAGAGTTTAGTTTGAAGTGTCAGTGGAGCCTGGCACATGTGCTGAAGCCAATACGGGAGCTATCATCTGATACCAAATGATGGACAGGAGGAGGATGAAGCTGGACATCAGGGACAGGACTTTGTTTACTGCAGGAGAGACAGAACCAGAGGTGCCATGGCAGGCAGTGGCCTGGGAGGCTCCGGGGCCATTGTGCAGGGTTCTGGAGCACCCTGCAGTGACTCTGGTGGGAGCCAGCTTAGCCCTGCAGCCAGCCTGTCCTGACTGTGCCTGCTGCTACATCTGTGTGCAGAGATAAGGTTCCTGTAAATATTAAACCACATTTTCCTCCTTCCCCAAGGTAGTCTGGAATCTTGCTGTTATCAGTGACTGAACTGCCAGGGCTGTGCCAGGGGCTGTCCTGCTGGGCGTGCAGCACCGCCCGGACCCGTGGGTCATGTGAGGGTCACGGTTCGCTCCTGCCCCGTGTCACAGCAGCCCTGCGGTTTGCCCTTTGTACTGTAATACAGGCCTTTCCTCTCCTCCAAAGCAGTGTAAAATTACAAGTTTCTGCTCTAAGATGGTCTTTAGGAATAGAGAGGAGTTTGGGGGGGGGAAGCTACAGCTGTAAGAATAGCTAGATTAACTGCCATTTACATCTCATTAGCAACTCAACCAGGAGGCTCAGTGGAGCAGTGCCTCTCCACTCCTGGAAACAGGTTTGCTTTGCTGTGCATATTTTATTGCACAGCTCAAGTTATTTTTCATGGGACATTGCTTCCTTGGGACTCTTTTTCCCCTAAATCCCACACTGCCTTTATCTGAAAAATCTTCTGTTCTAAGGCAGGTGCAGGATTTCAGCACATGATGTAAAAAAAAAAAAAGTGAAGGCCACTTCGGTTAAATTCCTGAAAAGCAATGACTTTTCCACTATTGATTCTCTTGTACCTCTGCTCCTAAAATTGTTTTTCTCTTGTTATTTGTTGTTACAGAAAGAATACTGTAGTATATTAACATATTTCCCTCATTAAGCACATTATGAGCTACAACTCTGACTGCATTTTTAATTGCTTTCCTAAATGACTGAGGGAGGCAGAACCTTTCATCAAAATTTAACTCCTGATGTGATGTTACAATGATTATTTCATTAGATTAGTTCATTTTTTTATAGGTGTATTTCTTCTCCTTCTTAGGTTGGGGGAATTAAAGACAAAGTGCTGGCAGCACACCGAGCTGGACTGAAGAGAATTATCATTCCTCAAAGGAACGAGAAGGATCTGGAGGAGATTCCGGCGCACGTGCGGCAGGACCTGACCTTCGTGCTGGCCGCCTGCCTGGACGAGGTGCTGAACGCAGCCTTCGACGGCGGCTTTGCAGTCAAGGCCAGGCTGGAGCACTTGAATAGCAAACTTTAGGCAGGCAGGCTGAGGTCACTTCTCTCTCCAATTCCATAGTTCTTATCTCTTTTAGCTACATTTAGGTATCAGGTACAACTAGGAGCTAAGTGGGTTTGAATGGGGGTGTCAATGCCATCAAAAGGAAGATGCTGCTGCAGTTACCAACCCGAAACTGCACTTGAGGGACATTTGTTGCTTTTTATCAACAAAGAATCTTGAATCTCATTTCCTGATGGCTTTGAGTAAGAGAAAGAATTCCTTAGCCTGTGTGACACCTAGGTATGTTCATGGCAGCAGCTGATCACATCCTTAAAGAGGGAATAACGTGCAGGAGAGGCTCACGGGTGGGGTTGTTACAAAAAGCAAACTGATTTAGTGCAAGTTTACTTATTTACAAAGTATCTGTAATAATAGTGAATAATAATGTGCTAAGGAGCAGCAGTATCTGGGGTAAATAAGGTTTTTGAAATCTAAAAAAAATACACTTAAGGCATCTAAGAGAATCACTATGGCCTAATAAATGAAGTTAGGAAGTTCTTTCAGCACTTGGTTCTAGTTTCTTCTAGTTTTCAAACGCAGGAAGCAATGCCAGAACTGAAATGTAGAATTGTTTTGTAGGAAGGGAGAGAACACATCAGTTCCCATGTGCACAGCTGTCCCTGCAGCAGCAGGGGGAGTGGAGTGTGCATGAGGCCTTAATGAGAAAACCCAGGAATGTTTTGGAGGGCAGAGAACACGTCCCTCATTCCTACCCACCACACACCCACTTGGTTCTGGAATGCCAATGCTTGGAGGTTCACCTATGGAAATTAAATCCATTTGAACAAAGCCAAGAAATTTTTGAATCTATTCAGTGTGAATAATGTAAGGTTCCAGAAGTCTGGCAGCCTCCCTGTCCTTTGATAGCTTTGTCTCCACTCGAACCTCAGTGAGAGCTGTGCTGCACCGTGTGATCTGGGCCCTTGGCATTGTTTACTCCACGGTCAGTCCCACGAGCAAATCCTGCATGCTGTTATATCCTTCTCTTGTTCACTGGGGGTTCTGAAACAAACCCCAAAGTGCTTATGAAAAACAAACTGTACACAACAGCCTATTCTAGAAGCTGCCTAAAAATCAAAAGTAAAGAGTTTGCTTTGCTTTCATTTTTGTAGCTAACAAAGCTGATTTACCTGGAATATAACAACACTGATTGTAATCAATTCAGTGGGAATTTCAACACCTATTTTACAAAAGATTTTACAACTTCGACAAAAGACTTAATCTAATAAAATGATAAAAATAAAACTGGCTTCTGTGTCATTATTTTAAGAGCTGTACTTAGTCACTAACAAGTACGTTCTGAGACTACAGACAACAGCCCCAGTCTTAGAATGTGTTCTGCCTCATGAGAAATGTGCAGGGAAGAAGTGCAAAGAAACTTCCCCTGGGTAAAGCCCCAGCCTGGTAACTCTGTGCTGCTGGCTTTGCTTTTGATCAAACCAGGAGGGAAAAATCCTTTACCAAACAGATGGAGAAACCATCCTGCACTGCTCTGCAGTGTGAGAGCACTGACATGCTCGGAATTCCAGCACAGTCTGTTTACACATGGACACAACAAATTGCATTATTTTAGAAGAGAATTGAGGACTACTAAGAAAAACTTTCCAGCATGGTAAAACAGGGAGCTGCTCCCCAGAAAAGTTAAAGGATGACTTTCTGTCTGACACATCACTCCAATTCCTAAGTCTTGTCCCGGTGGACTCCACCTGAAGGTGAGGGGTTCAATGGCACTCTGAAGATAATGCCAGGCATTTAGTGCCAGCTCTTCCTGTCCCTGCTGCCAGAGCTGAGGAGGTTCAGTTACCGAGTTGAGATTTTTCTGAACAAACATAAGCATTACCCATTATAGCAGACACTACAGCCACACTTCGGTGCCTTTTGTTTTGCTTCCACTGAGCACAGTAATCCTGTGCAGCAGTGAGCCAGAGCAGTGCAGAACTTCTGAAGGGACGGCAATGCCCCGTGGAGTATCTGCTTAGGAACAGTCAGATGGAGCAGAGATTCAACTTGTGTCCCTCAGAAAAATACCCCAAAATAGCTCAAGCTTATCAAAAGTAAAAGCAGTGGTAATTCCTTTCCTCTGGCCACACTGTAAACCGCTACAGATTGTAACTACCCCACTAGAACAATTCCTGCTTTAGTCACAGCAGCTTGGAAAAGACTCAGGATAAAACAACAGGACAGGCAGCAATACAAAACCATTCACCTGCTTTAATTTTAAACCACTACTGCAAACAAGAACTAGCAGGAACTGTCACAACAGAATCAAAATATTTACATCCACATTTGTCAAACATTTTAAGGCCTTTTTTTTTTTTTAAAGGGCAATGAAAAACCATGGAGGTAGTGCTAGCAGACAAATGCAAGATCTACTGCATTTCACCTTTTAGAGACAAATTGAATGCTCCTCCCAATACAGCAAAGTAAAACAGCACTTTCTAAAATAAATAGCTAATGTTAAGACAATGCCAGGCTTTAATACACCATTTATTTTAGATAAGGTAGTAAACTGTACAGACTTCTAGTATGGTTTCTTTTTTCATACAGAACAGTGTAGTTGACTTATCAGATCCTCCCACTCTTTAGGCTTTTAATACTGTTGAGGATCTGGGCCTAAGGGTAATTTCGTAATTCCATCTGATGATGGATATTAAAGGTTTTATACAATTATTTAACACCAAATGGAGCAATACTAATTTACATTACAGTAAGTCAGCATACAGTAGTTATGCTATAGCTCTTGTCCTCTGTGAAACATGAACAAACCTGTCTGAGCACAGCAGGCAGCTAACAAAGCTCACTGCCAAGGCCATTCCAGAGCACAGCCCTGAGCTCCAGCCCCCTGTACCTCCACCAGATCACTGCAGCCCAGCACAAGGGTTGGGGCTGACAGTGCTCCTGGGGACACAGCCCCAGCTGAGCCCTCCTGAGCACAGCCCTGACCAACCCTGCACAGCCCCGGCCTGTCAGGGCAGGCCCAGAGGGGCCACACACCTTCTCCACCACATTCCCTTAGCACAGCCAGAGCTGGAGTGGCTCAGCTCCGCCAGGCAGGCAAGGGACATGTGGGCTCCTCTAAAAAGAGTATTTAGCCAACTCTCTGTTAAAGACAAACTGGAGGTAAACGTAGACAAGCTTAATTAGGTGAGAACAATTACTGAATTTAGAAAACTGCAAACAGCTGGCTGCATATTCAAAAAGAAAAAATGCTAGATTGCAGGAGTTTTGGAAGCATTTATCTACTGTCACAAGGTACCAGTACAGCTTTTAAATTACATCTGTGCACAGTTCAAACAGTCTTAAGTATCAAATTTTCAGAGTGAAACTTTACTACATGAAGCCAACTATTTCTGTAGTATTTTATTCATCCAACCCAATGGATTTTATGTTCCTTACCTGTAGAACTACTTACCTCATCATGCATCAAAAACAGTAAGAACATGAGTTGTCTTAACAGATCAACTTCTGATAAGAAAGTTAAGACAGTGCACAGTAAATAAACTGTATTTTAATGTGTTACAAAAGTAGTCAACAGCCAGACCAGCTCCCCAACACGTCCGCTACCACTTGCTTTGACAAATATTTCCTTCCTGCTTGAGGTGGAACAGCTTTTCCCTGCTCTTGTCTGTGTCTGTTTTGTAACACAAATCCGGTTTACATTCATGGTTCAGGTTTGCACATACAGGCAGTCTGCATAAAGCCCAGTATCCTTCCAAAGCCTTTAGGGCTGGTCAGTCACACCTGGAAGAGATTTATCTGCATTGTCATGTGGATTATGTCACCAAAATGAGATACAAAAGTCAGCTCCAGACAGTTGCTTTTAGTAACAACCAAAAGACATGAAGACAAGAAACTAAGCAAGAGCATCAATGTGTCAAACTTTGAGCTAAAGCAAAAAGCAGAAGTTGGCTGTGTTTTTTTCATTTGCCAGGTAATCTTTTAATGACAAATATAAAAAGACTGAAAACATCTCTCTCTGACTGCCTTTTTTTTTGAGACAAATGGTCTGCTTTTATAATTACAAATATTGTGTAATATAAGACTTTCTTTGTACTGCCAACTGACAAATACAAGGATGCAATCAATTTTTCTAAGCATCTCTAAATTTGCAATGTGAATTACTATTTTTTTTTTAATTTGGAAAGTTCTTAATAATTGTTTCATTTTTGTTAGAAGATAACTCAAAGTACAACAACATCTAGACCTGTTTTTAAAGGAGCTGTCTTTCCTGACACACGTCTTTGAACATAAGCACTCCTTTTGAGTTCAGTACATTCACAAATAGCTCAATTAAGAACAGTATCACCAATGAATTGACTACTGGAAAGAGACAAAATTTACCAAACATACAGAAATATAAGTTTTACCATAGCAATTATGCATATCAAAAGATGACACCTGTAATTAATCTTAAAAAGATACAAAAAAGAGAAAAACCTGAATTACAGAAAAGAAAGTCATATTTATTTAATGAAAAACTAGAAGTTAATAAAAATTAGCAAATACACAAAAAATATACACAAACAGCAGCAATACTATGTAGTGACTTACAAAGGGGGGGTGGGGAGGAGGAGGGGAAGCAGCGGCCAGAGACCAGACTGCTCAACATGGCTTGTCAGTCAAAGGGGGAGGAAAAAACACAAACAAAAACACGAAACAGTATCCTTTTCAACAGTACAATCAATCTACAAACAAGTTTTTAGAATTATTTTACAACGTTTCCTGTAGAATCAATTCATAATACAAAAGATGCCCATTTTGGGTGTATATATATTTTCAGTGGTTTACTGTTGACTTATTTTAAATATATTAGTTACTACATGCAACTGCTTCCTGTAATTTAACAGCCTTTCCTTTTATTTACCTTCATTTATGTCTACTCTCCATCTACCAAATAATTTGTCTGACAGTCAAAGATGGTTACCCTATTTCTGCTAAATTAAATGCAACGGTTTTAAACACTGACCTGAAGAGGTTCGATTGCCATTTCAACACATGGATATAGTTACATTGATGCCTAAATTGCCATTTTCTGCAAAGAGCTGTGCAATGCTGGTGTCAAAGACTAGGCAGTCACTATTCATAATGGCTGTTGCAATTCCCTCATGAATGGATCGAGGAGTTGCTTCCCAAGTCAATCGCCGCCTATGCCCGTTTAGCTCGAGTCGATAAGCAAAGTTTTCTGCTTGCTTGCGTGTTCCTATCAGCTGTACAATTGCAAAGAACTGCTGGTGACCATCATACTTTTCCTGTTTCTCCAACACTAGCATGAAATGAAAGCCAAAACAAGACTGCATCATAACCCAGTCAACAGCACCAGGAAGATTAATGTCCGTGGCCAGGAACACTATATCTTCTCCCTGCAGCGTTGTAATTGACTTATGCTGATGCATCAGGTGCGGCATCACAGCATCCAGAGAACCTTGCCATTTGCACGAAGCACCGGGACAGGGACAGGAGTAAGGCCTGAACTCACACAGCTCCTCGTGGTCTGCTTTTTCTGTGTGCGGCAAGGTTATCTCGCAGCCAGAAGAGGCGTATTTACACGGGAATAGTACGGAATTGGCAACTTTCTCCATAGCCAGGTTACGGATGGAGCCCAGCGGGCCTCGGCAAGTGGGGCAGCACGTGAGTTTGGGGCGACAGTTGCTACAGACCAGATGGCCACTCTGACACTGCAGGATGGGTGGCAGCACATAGTCAAAGCACACGGGACACTCAAAGAGACTGGCCAAGTCATTGTTGGAAGCGGTGGTGCCCGTCAGCGCGGGCACCCTCTGCGACGGCGTGCACTTGGAGGTACCTGTGGGCAGTGCTGTGGCGGTCTGACGGCTCATTTCTGCAACAGAACAGAGAACAGACAATTCAGATCTAACCACACCTCACTGCCGCTGCACACAGCAGTCCTTGACTCACAAACCTTCAAGAGAAAGGAAGATACAAATGAAAGCAAGAACACCCCAGTGTAATACAAACTGCATATGCACTATGTGTAGATTGGTACAGACACTCCCATGACATGGAAATTTAACAAGTGAAGAACTTCTGCTCATTGTTTTGAACAGGCATTTACCTACTGGAAGCTGCAAGGGAGGGGAGTAAAAACATGCTAAAAATAAGCAGTTTCTTATTGTTGGTTTGTTTTTTTAATATTGCATTTATGAAATGCTTCACACCCAGATCACTTGTGTGTACCAACTCTGTGTATGGAACAATTCTAAGTTGCTGTGTACGAGAAACAAGGCTTTAATGAAAAAAACTATATACTGGATGTGACCTTCTCAGTACTCATGCTTACAGTGTAATTTTTTAAGAAGAAGTTGAAAAACATAGCTCAGACAATTACTACTCTGCTTTTTTGCAGGATAGGACAGTGACTCTTCATTTCACTACTCTGCTATTGAGGCCCATGGCTTGTAAAGCACAGCCACTGCTTCAGCTTCCGTAACAAAACCATTTGTGAGGATACCAGAAAAAAAACCTACAGCAATTACTTTATTTAATTTCCCAACTAAGACTAAAAATTCAAACTTCACTTGTTAAATTTGAGTATTCATTTTACTATGTAAATACTCAGATATTTTCAGTTCCTCTCTAATGTCCCCAGACAAAGGTGACAGCTGTCTGACCTAACAGCTTGCTCGAGCATTCCACAGATGTGGAACAAGTACCCACCACATTTTGTAACATATTGTGTTTTCCTGCACTCCTAACTCTCCTCCTTCTTGTAGAAAAGACATTACTAGCACTATCTGAAAAAATAAACATAGCTTTTAAAAAATAAACCATACCTTTGTAGGTAAAGGGCAGTTAAATAAAATACTATCCAAAATTGGCTTCTGTTATAGAGTACAATTCTCAGCCATGCTAAGTGCCTCTGCGAGTACAACCAGCTCTGGATCTGTCACGTACGTATAAAGCTCTCAAAATAAACCTCATCTTTAATCTCCTTGCTATTTGACATGGGAATATTAGGCAATAGGCAAGCTTCCCATATTTAGCATCATTTCACCCACAAACTTACTCATACTTGGACCAGACAGCTCAGAGCAACATACTGTGCATGCTTTTGTAAGACATGCACTGTTCAGGGCACAAAGCAGACGAACTAAGAGATTCCTACTTGCAAAACGACTTAAGTCCTTGACATTTAGAAAGTAACGAGAGACAGACAAGTCCAAATTACTCTACAGAAGTACCTCTCCCCAGAGCTAGAAAAGTATGAGCGTCTAAGATATGATTCCCAGACACTGATTTTATGAGTCTCATGTGTCCCACTGACAGCATCTTCCTAACCCACCGAACTCTCTTCTCCATCTCAGTCTTGGTGGTTTAGAAGTACCTTGGGAAAAACACCCATGCAGCAGTTTTCAGTGCTGGGCCATAACTGATCCTGTAGAGCTGTGACAAGAATGTTTGTGTCTTTTGGCTGTATCTTCCCACTGTGAGGCATTCCAACTTAGATGAGAAGTTCAGGATGTCTGTGACAAATCAAGCATGTGTCCTGCAGAAGTGATGCTGCACCAGTGAGGGGACTGGAGCAGCAAGGCCTCTGCCAGCTGCACTGCTCTGTGTCCCAGCAGCTGCAGGTCTGTGCTCCAGAACAAACCACTGGGCACGGGAGAACCAATGCTGATCACACCTGTTCGCTTGGGAGGAGCTTAGAAACAACAGGCATATTCACATGTAAAATTCTGGAAGTGCTTCCCTTCAAATACTGCAAACACACACATTTCAGAAAAGTCTGTGTTGTGCTTCCTCTTGCCTGACCCTGTACATCCTGATCCAGGGATCCTCCATAACCTGCAGATAACGCTGGTGAAAACCACTGCGTCAGACCAGTTCCCTGGGCAGCCTGACAAGCTGGGTGAGCTCTGCTGTCTTTAATTACACCTCGCTGAGCCCATGCAACAGTTAAATGAAGCAACCTACAAACTTTGCAAAAGAGCTTGTGCACCGATGCACTTCCCACTTGAGCTTTCTAAGGTATGGAAGAGAACAGAACTGTGTTACCAGTGCTCCTGTGTGAGCAGCCTTCACACACCTTCCACAACACTCACAGGAGCAGAGAATGGAAAGGAACAGGGAATGGAAAGGAGCAGCGACTGGAAACAAGGAGCAATCTCTGAACCAGACCACTGAGATCAGCATGCAGGAAAGACACTGTATAAGGCTACAAACTGTAATTTACCAAGCCTAAACCTGCCCAAAGCCTACATTTTCATCACTCTTGTTAACACAAAGATGAATAATCCATCTTTTATGGCTATCTCAAAAGTTACAAGTTAATCACAAGCAAAAGTTTTAACAGTGGAATACATTTAACCCACCAAACCATGAAAATCATACAATTACAAACCAAGGAAAAACAACTACAGAACTGGAGATAAAGTTTTAAGACATTTTTAGTTACAAACCCCTTACTACGGGTAAAAACACTTATATGCAATATTTGCTATTTCATTATCTTTATTTGTACACATTAGGAAAAAGTTTCTAAGCAACAGCGACAAACTAAGGAACACTAAGGTGTCATTTTCAAGAGTATTAGCTCCTTTAACTCCAATTATCAAAAACACTGTACATATTACAAAAAAAGAAAAATCACCCAACAGTAAGAGTGAAAAGGGGAGAACGCATCTTAAGATTTCCTAGCTCTAAATCAAGAAAAGCTGCTCTTGGTAACATCTAGAAGGCACCTGTTGCTAAAAGGACTCTCGACACTGTTCTGGGAAAGGCGACATGCACAGGTTACCGAGACCTCCCGCGGAACACAATCTAACATCTCCTACAAGCCCAGCTTTAAATACTGCGCATAAGGCAATTTAAAGGGCGCTACCTTTCCCCTTGCAGGTTTTACTCCCCGGCAAGCACGCAGACCAGACGCCCTTCCAGGAGTACGGCCCGCTGGAGGCAGATCTGCCCGTCATGGGGCGCGGAGGAGCTCATGGCGTGTCCGCGCAGCACGGGCGGGCTGGGGCCGCGGGCCGGGCGGTGACCGCGCCGAAAGGCCCCGCGACGGCCGGGGGGCCCCGCGCGGCGCCCGGATCTCACCGCCCCGGCCGGGGCCGCCGCCCCCATGTGCGGCCGCGCTCCGGCCCCGCGCCCCAAAATGGTTCCCCGAGCTTCCCCCGGCGCTGCCGGCGCGGGACGGCCCCACCCCGCCCCGCCCGCCACCGCCTCCGGGGGAGGCCGCGGCTCGGCCCCGCCCCGGCACCGGGAGCCGGCCCCGCCCCGCCCCGGCACCGGGAGCCGGCCCCGCCCCGCCCGCCCCACGCCTCCCCAGGGCCGCCCGCCCGCGGCCCGGCCGTTCCTCACACGTGCGCAGGAGAAAGCCCTCTGCTTCCCCCGAAATAACTCCCCGGGAAAAGCTACAGCTTCCGTTCAAAACTCTTCTAACACATGAAAATCACTTCCTCCTATTTCAAGGATATTCCTCAGATGAGCATTATTCACTGTGGATCTATAAATTCCTATTCAACAGGAATTTTCTCCATCTGTATAAATATTGTTCAATTAAGCAAAAGCATAATCTCAAGGAGAAGAGATAACCAACAGAACTAAAACAATGCGGCATATTTGATTATCTACTTGGGAGTATTAAAAAAAATAGAACAGGTAAAAGGATAAATTTGGAAGCCAAGTCAACATGCTTGCGTGAAGCACACGCTTTGCACAGAAAAGCTGAGACATGACGCTGATGTAATAATGGTAAGATCATGAAAGTACAAGTTTCAGTGGAGGCAACAGAACAAACACACTGAGATAAACTGTTGTCACATAAAAAGCAAGGCTATGAAATCTGAGTAAAGATAATTATCTTTAAAATGCTTTCCTACTATTTGAAATCCAAGTCCTTTTCAAGAAGACTTGTATCAGCACTGTAATACCTGCAAATAATGCCCAACTGCTATAAAAACAATCTACCCACTCAATACAAGGCTTCCTTCAGTCTCGCCTGAAAACCTGCAATCTACAGTATCGCACCAGGTAAGAGTCAAGGAAGTTTACAAGCAGAACAGAGAAGCTGAAGAAAAACTGCATAAAAACAGCTTTTGAGAAGCTAATAGCGTGTTGTGAGGTGCGTGAAACATGTCCCAGGCTGCCCCTCGTGTGGCAGTGTCCCCAGTGCCACCCGCCAGCCCCTGGCCACGCTGCCCGTGTGCTTTGCTGGCTGCACAGTGTCTTGGGGACAAAGCCTTTGGGACCCGGACACAGAACCAAAAAATCCTGTAGGAAAAGGAAGGCACAACCAAACCACTGGTTAAAAAGCTCTGCTACGGCGCAGGCACACAGAAAGTAGTTTGAAGAAGTTGAAAAAGATCGCGTGCCTCACGTGTCTGGGAATTATCAATGGCAAACAGGACTAGACTGATACTCTTCCAGCTTCTCACCTTACCAAGGTGTTAGCTCCAGACACATTCTAAAAATCACATTTATGCTTCACTGGAATACAGGGTACCTCTGACAAATTCAACTCAGCATCATCCACTTCTCTCATATCAAATAGCACATCTTCTCTCATATCTTCATCCACCCATATCAAATAGATTAGACTTGAATTTAGCATTTTAGCTAGCTTTTGAAAGGGTAACCTAATATTAGTTTGAGGAAAAAAAAACCATACAAAAGCCCTCTATAGTCATCTTAATGGTTGGAAGGGAAAAAGTCCCATATAAGAGTAATAAACAGAAAAAAATTTATCACAATTGTCTGTATGTGATGCAACAACATATTTTTTTCTATAACATTTAAAAACTAACCGAGTTCAGGAACGTCCATTTAAAATGCACTCTTAATGCATTACAACCATCAACAAAGTAATAGAAAATCTTTCAT